TTGTTATATTTTTATTTGTTTTTTTTTTGTTTTTTTATTTTTCAGTTTTTTTTTTTTTGTTTTTTTTTATTTAGTTTTTTGTGTTTGTGTGTGTGTTGTTTTAATAATATATATTTACAGTCCATTTTAAGGCAAATTGTTGGTTGACCTTGATTTTTATCCTTGGATTCATGTATTTTTTCACAATTTATGGTTTAAGATTTTTTTTGCTTTTATGTTTATTTTGTTTTATGTGTTTTTGTTTTTTTTTTGGATTGAAGTGCAAATTCGTTTTTAACTTTTTTATACTCCAAAAAAGGTTGTGTTTATGTTTTTTTTGTCAAAGTTTTTGTATTGGAATTTTTTTTTTTTATTTTTAAATTTTTTTTTTGTTTACAAGCATTTTGTTTGTTGTATTTTTTTTTATTTTTTTTGGGGCAAGTTAATTTTTTTTTATTGAGTTTATTTTTTGAAAGCAGATAAAAAGTTTTTTTTGTTTTTTTTAAAATTTTTTTTTTGGTGTGTATTTTTTTTACTTGATGTTATGGACTTTATTTTGTTGTTTTGTGGAGATTTTGTTGTTTTATGCCTTTATTTTGTTAATTTTTTTTTTTAATATCAACAGTTTCAATTGTTAAAAGATGGATTTTTTTTTTTGAAAATGGTGCCAAACAATTTAGATTTGCCTTTGTTTGTGTTGTGTCAGTTCGTTTATTTATAAGAAGTTTGTATTTTTTTATATTTTGTTTATTCTCCTGGTATTTGTTTTTTGTTTTTGTGTGTATTTAATTTTATGTTGATTGTTTTTTTTTGCAGTTTTTTTGATAATAGTTGTTGTGGTGTTGTTAAGCAGTCTTTTTTGTATATTTTCCAAAGATATTCAGCTGTTTTTCAGGAGAGCATTTTTGTCAGTTGCGTTTTTTTAGTTATATTTATGTTTTTTGTGGTTTTTTTTTTAAGGATTTATTTTATAGTTTTTGTTTGTTATTTTTTTGTTTTTTGTGTTTTTTTTGTTGTTTATGTACTTGAGTTTTGTTTTTTTATATTCTGGGAAAACGTTTTGTTGGACAGATGAGACATTTAATATTATTGTGTTTTTGCGGTATTTTTATATTTTTTCTGTTTTGAAATTGTTTTTTTTTTTTTTTGTCTTTTGAACAAAACACAGTTTACCTGTTTTTAAAATATGGTGGAGGTTCAATGTGTTTTGGGGTTGTTTTGTTTGCCTCTTTTTTACTGGGTGCCTTGATTGTGTGCAAAGGTTTTTTTGAAATTGAGTTATTACCAAAGGATTTTGGGTTTTTTGTAGGGCCCAGTGTTATTTGTTCTTTTTGGGTTTATTTTCCAAGATTGGGTGTTTTTGTAGGACTAATGACCCCAAACATACTTGTCAAATTGCACTCAGTTTAATGATGGTTTTATTTATATTTATATTTTGGAGAGTTTGTATGGCAGCAATGATTTTGTTTTTAAATTTTTTGAACACCTGTGGAGAGATCTTAAAATTGCTGTTTTGAAAATTTATTTTGTTTTCCTTCCAATAAAGAGAGATGTTTTTCTGTGTTTGCAAAGGAAGAGTGTGTTTAATAAAATTTCCGGGTGGAGAGGTGTCAGAAGTGTTATTGATGGTTTAGGAAGCGACTGATTTCAGTTATGTTTTCCCAAAGGGGTGTGCAACCAAATATTAAGTTAAGGTGTGCCATACTTTTGTTTTTTATTTTTGGGGTTTTGTGTGACATTATGTTTATTTGCTTTTCTGCCTCTGTTTTATATTTGTTCCAATTACATACAAAGGTTTTTTTTTTTAAAAACATGTGTTTTATAGCAAAATATGTGTTTTTAATGCAATTTTTTTTTTGTGTGAAATACTTGATTTTGTTGAAAAATTCGTTCAATGTGGTGCCAACAATTTCGGCCCATGACTGTATTGTGTGTGTGTATATATATCACCTTGTGTTTGTTTTATCATATGGACATTTTTTTTTCTTTGTATGGCTTTGCTAGCATGCTGGTGAGAATTCTTTTCTCGGGTCACAGTACAACTTTCTTATTTGGGTCATCAGGTTACTATTCAAACCATGTCTTTATGGACCTGACTTTGTGTCCAGAGGTACAGTCATTCTGGAACAGAAAAGGGCCTTCCCCAAACTGTTGTCACAGGACTGGGAGTGCACAATTGTTTAAAATGTACTTTATGCTGTTATTACCCGTACCCTTCAACGCTAATACTTGGAGGGGTGGCCGCATACATTTGACCGCATACTGTAAGTGTGATTGTCAAGTATCCACAAACTTTGGCCCACATAGTGTCTCTGTCACTTTTCTTTATAATAGTAGTAGTAATGACAGTGACAGTATTTATCCATATAAGAATTATGGCTTGCAGATTCCATACACACAAAATACATGAACCTTCTCTGTAACTGCTGCAGTCATAATGATATTTTAAATGCTATAGACTGATAATCATGTCCCTTAACTCTTTCAAGTGGCACTTAGAAAGATTGATACCACTCATCATCTCTCGATGGACAAATACAACCAGCAGCCAGACATCTTCCAGAAAATCTCCACAGCCAGGAGACCTGCCACAGAAACCGCAGCTCGCAGATCTTCCTCCGAAACCACAGCCTTTAGAATTCACACAGAAGCCACACATTGGAGACCTACCACCAAAGCCAGGAGAATTGCCTCCTAAACCTCAACTGGGAGACCTGCCACCAAAACCACAGCTGGGAGACCTGCCTCCAAAGCCACAACTCAAAGATCTTCCACCGAAACCCATCCTGGGAGACATGCCGCCCAAGGCATCCGTAGTAGAGGCATCTCCTAAGCCTCATACACCAGAGACGAACCAAAATTCTCAACCACCGGAGGTGGTACAAAACTCCCAGCCAGCAGATCATGCACCTGTGCAGAAGCAGGCTTCCGAAGCTTCCAGCGACGGTCCACCGCCTCTTCCAGAAACGCCAGTGCCACTTCCTCGCAAAATCAATACGGTGAGTCTTTCTTGACATCTACAGAGAGTTCTGGTTGGTTTTTCTTCAGACTAATTAAAAACAGGCTGATTTCTTGCCAAACATGATTTTCACAAAAATGACTAGTTTATTACCTCCAAGCTTTTTAGTGTTTGGTTGCAATGTACACGCAATGAAGTAATCTTGACCTTCCTTTTCTGACATAATAAGCTACACTTGTGTTATTCATAAGGAAGAGTAGACATCAATATCTGCTTTCTGCTATACTCTTATTCCACACCATGGCCATTTATATATAAAAAAAAGAAGCAATGTGCAGTAACTCTTTCTGCTTTGACAGGTCATGTGACAGTTTTTTTCTTGCTTCCCTCCCCTTTTTAACCACCTCCCGTCCGGCCCTTGTATATATAAACGGCCGGACGGTGGCAGTGCAGGATCGGGTGGCCGTTTATAAATGGCCTCCCCGCACCCTGCTTGTACGCACAGTGGAACACCGATCGGCGGATGGGACCTCTGTGCGAGGTCCCGATCATGTGATCACTGATTGGCCAATCAGTGATCACATGCAGAGTGGTAAGCAAGATGTCACTTGTGACATCATTGCTTACAACGTGTGTAATCTGTGAATGATCACAGAGGTCACATGGTACAAGGCTTTTTCACAACAGCCTTGTACCATGTGACAAGCTGTGACCAATCACAGCTCACTCAGTAGTTCTCAATGGCTGCAAGAATGCAGCTAGAGAGAAGGAGAAATTATTGCTTTTAAAGCAATCAGTGTAAAAAAAAAAAATCTTCATCACCCCCCACAAGTAGTACAGTGTCACCATGGTGACACTGTACTGCTAGGGTGACAGTATGTAAAAAAAATAATAACATAAAAAAAAATGTAAAAAAAAAAAGTTTAAAAATTATAATTTTTGGTTATATAAAACAAAATGTAAAAAAAAAAAAAGTTTAAAAAATTATAATTTTTGGTTATAAACTAATTTGGATTATTATTTTTTTTACTAAAAAGATAACGGAATACATTTTGGCCAAGATTTATGATGAAATACTATTTATTTGCAAAATTTTATCAGAAAAACACTTTTTTTCAAAATTTTTGGACATTTGATTTACATAGCAAGCAAAAATTAAAATCCCAGTGGTGAATAAATACCACCAAAATAAAGCTTTATCTGTCTAAAAAATTTATATGGGTACAGTATTGCATGACTGCGCAATTGTCATTCAAAGTGTGATAGCGCTGAAAGCTGAAAATTGGCCTGGACAGGAAGGGGGTAAAAGTGTCCGGACTGGAAGTGGTTAAGTGGCTTTGGGATTTTGAAACCCGCAGAGCGTTCTGCACACTGTACAGCACATCACTATGGTTTATAAACGTGCAATTTTGTTTTCTCCTTTTAAACAGCGGTATAGCTGCAGTAAGCTTTTTTTAAATGCAGTTCTTAGTTATGAGTTTGAGGAAGTCTTTTGTTGCTTTCAGGGAACTAGTAGTATGCTGGGAAATTTTGTGGCACTACAAAGGTTGGATGTGGCATATTTGGCTGCCTTCTGCAAACATGTGCGTGCCTATTCAGACAAAAGCAACAGGTTTGGTTTATTTCCTCCTCCTTTCCCATACCCAGCACCTTTCCGTTGCTCCCCCATGGCTCTATTCTGTACTTGGGAGCCAAAGGAAGTATCTGGTACCTCCGTGTTAGGAGGAGCATGTGACAGCACTGTCATAGAAGGTCCATAGCCCTATGTAATCCACAAGTCCAGCAACTCATAGCCCACATAAGGCTTTCGTTTGTTACCAGGGACCAAACAGAGCAGCAGAAGAGTAAAACGTAGATTAGTAAGGACTTGTGTTGATGGCATCAGTTTGAGACGCTACGTGCTTTGCTGGGGGTTTTTTTTTGCCTTAACCTCCCTGGCGGTCTGATTATTTCAGATTTTTGGTGCTGAAAGTGGTACCATTATTTTGCATGGAAATATGTAGTTTTTTTTATTGTAGGCTGTAATTTTTAGGAATAACTCACTGAAATCTGTCCGAACAAGAGTCTATTAAACATCCCGGGTATGATAAAATTTGAAACACGAAATCATAAATTATAATTTAATAAATAATCATAAAAAAAATAATATTATTTAATTCAATAATATAATCAAACCAAAAACACTGAAATTTGAAATAAAGCGCCAAGTTCGCACATCGCTGAGCAAAGTCGCAAAATCGCTTTCAGTGTCTGATGACGAATTTCCCCACGAATCATTATCACTCAATACTGCAAGTGGTTCTGATTTACTATCGCTGTTCTCTAGCCGGTCTAAAACCGCTTTTGACCTAAAGGGACGCTTTTTGGACGCCATGGATGTTTCTCAGTTTCCAGGCAGAAAGAACAGTAAAAATGCAGGCAGGGCGCAGGACAAAGCACTCGGGACAAAATGTATGTGAAATGGGTTGAAACAGCAATGTTTTACTATGTAAAATTTGTTTGGAAAAAAATGCCATTTTTTAAAATTTAAAAATTTCCCGCCACCTACGGCGGCGGCTCCCGTACGTCCCCACATCACAGGGACCGGAACACAGAAGCCGGATGCCAGCATCGGCTGGAGGAGATGGCCGGGGACGCTGCAGGGGACACATTGCGGGAGCGAAGGACAAGGTAAGCTCTGCAGGGAATCCCTATCAGCGCCGCATGGTAAGCCTGAGTGTAGCTCGGGGGTTACCGCTTTTGGTACTGACATTTTACCCCGAGCTACACTCGGGAATGCCGCTAGAGAGGTTAATCTGGATCAACTGTGGGTGTAGGATTATAATTTTTTTTTTTTCTATCGTTGAACTGGATGGACTTTTGTCTTTTTTCAGCCAGACTAACTATGTAACTATATATGAGAATGGCAGGTGAATTTGATTTATAGTGGCCACCTTCTGACCTGCTTCAAGCTGTTGCTGCATTCTCATAGACTCGTATAGTAAAGCAAAACTCGCCAGATGTGAATAAAAACCCACCAATCATATGAGCAGGAATTGATATATCCAGGGGGCGCTGTGTACATCATCTGTGTACAGAACACCTCCATGCTTCTCAATGCCATTGCGTTTTGAAGAAATTACAGCAATGCAGATTGGAAAGGAAAGGTAATTTTTAACCAAATTCAGTCACAATATGACTTGTGTCCCAATTGTATATGCTATCTTCTTTTTTTTTTTTTTCTACTTGCTATTTTTTTTTTCCCATAAATCTGGAGTTACCCTTTAACCACTTGCTGCCCAGTCAAAGTAGATTTACTGGGACCAATCGGCAGCTGCAGGGTCAGAAACGTAAATAAATGTTGCGAGCCTGCTGCCAGGTTTGGGGTGCATGCACTCCCTGCTATCCCACACTGCGGTTGGACACAGTGTGTCCAATCACAGCGCAGAGCCCTGTGTTTACAAACAATTCAGTGCTCTGTATACAGAGCAATGATTTGGCTGTCTCTTCTCCAGGCACAGCAGCAAGAAAAAACAACCAAATCTATTAGAAAAAGCAGCACATATTACACATGTTAGGCACACAGTTAACCCTTTGATTGCTACTAGATGTTACCCCCCTTTCCAGTCAGTGTCATTAGTACAGGGACAGTGTACAGTATTAGCACTGATCACTGTATTAGTGTCGCTATTGATGTCAGTCAGTTAGTGTACCTCCCAGCCAGGGTCCGCTAGCCCACCACACTATCACAGTCATCTGACAGATCCACTGTCCTGATAAAATACATTTACAGTGTTGGTCGTAACATGACAAAATGTGGACAAATTTCAAGGGGTATGAATACTTTTTTCAAGGCACTCTATATAATTTCAGAATGTGCAAAGAAAGCAGTTCACTACCAGTTAGTCTTCCATTCAATTTCAAGCCTTCTTTATACAGAGCACAAGCTGTAACCCAACTGGGTTCTACAAACCGTAAAGCCGGCCATACATGGATCGAATTCCGACAGAATTTTCTTTCGAAAATCTTTTCTAAGAATTTACGTTCGAATTTTGAACCATTAGTGGGCCACAGCAAAGGCTGATTTTTGAGCGCCCGTCGAATTTGAATGATTGGGCATGTTGGAAATTTTTTCAAAAACTAATGAATTTCTAATTAAGGATGGGAGAATTGTGCAAGAAATACACTGCGCAAAAAAATTAAAGGAACACTTTGAAAATACATCCGATCTCAATGGGGAAAAATATGCTGGATATCTATACTGATATGGACGGGGTAATGTGTTAGGAATGTAAGGATGCCCCATTGTTTGATGGAAATGAAAATTATCAACCTACAGAGGACCAAATTCAAAGACACCCCGAAAATTTAAGTGAAAAAATGATGCAGCAGGCGAGTCCATTTTGCTGAAATTTCATTGCAGCAACTCAGAATGGTCCTCAGTAGTTTGTATGGCCCCCATGTGCTTGTATGCATGCCTGACAACGTCGGGGCAGGCTCCTAATGAGACGATGGATGATGTCCTGCGGGATTTCCTCCCAGATCTGGACCAGGGCATCAGTGAGCTCCTGGACAGTGTGAGGTGCAACCTGGCGGCATCGGATGGACCGAAACATGACATCCCAGAGGTGTTCTATTGGATTTAGGTCAGGGGAGCGCGGGGGCCATTCAATTGTATCAATTCCTTCATCCTTCAGGAACTGCCTGCGTAATCTCGCCACGAGGCCGGGCATTGTCGTACACCAGGAAGAACCCCGGACCCACTGCACCAGCGTAGGGTCTGACAATGGGTCCAATGATTTCATCCCGATACCTAATGGCAGTCAGGGTGCCATTGTCTAGCCTGTAGAGGTCTGTGCTTCCCTCCATGGATATGCCTCCCCAGACCATAACTGACCCACCACCAAAACGGTCATGCTGAACAATGTTACAGGCAGCAGAACGTTCTCCACGGCTTCTCCAGACCCTTTCACGTCTGTCACATGTGCTCAGGGTGAACCTGCTCTCATCTGTGAAAAGCACAGGGTGCCAGTGGTGGACCTTCCAATTCTGGTGTTCAGTGGTAAATGCCAATCGAGCTCTATGATGCCAGGCAGTGAGCACAGGGCCCGCTAGAGGACATCGGGCCCTCAGGTCACCCTCATAAAGTCTGTTTCTGATTTGTTTGGTCAGATACATTCACACCAGTGGCCTGCTGGAGGTCATTTTGTAGGGCTCTGGCAGTGCTTGTCCTGTTCTTCCTTGCACAAAGGAGCAGATATCGGTCCTTCTGATGGGTTAAGGACCTTCTACGGCCCTGTCCAGCTCTACAAGAGTAACTGCCTTTGTCCTGGAATCTCCACCATGCTCTTGAGACTGTTCTGGGAGTCACAGCAAACCTTCTGGCATATTGATGTGCCATCCTGGAGGAGTTGGACTGCCTGTGCAACCTCTGTAGGGTCCAGGTATCGTCTCATGCTACCAGTAGTGTCACTGACCCTAGCCAAACTCAAAATCAGTGAAAAACAGTCAGAAAAGATGAGTAGGTAAAAAATTGTCAGGGGCTTCCACCTGTAAAACCATTCCTGTTTTGGGGCTTGTCTCATTGTTGCCCATCTAGTGCACCTGTTGTTAATTTCATTAACACCAAAGCAGCTGAAACTGATTAACAACCCCCTCTGCTACTTACCTGACCAGATCAATATCCCAGGAGTTTCATTGACTTGATGCTAGACTCTGATTAAAAAGTGTTTCTTTAATTTTTTTTTGAGCAGTGTAAAATAGAAAAAGAAATGAGCATGAGCTGTGACCTGGAAAGAAAAGAAAATTCTTGGCCACGGAAATTCTTTTCTGTAGCAACATGAGGTGAAATTAAAGGGTTGGTTGAATTTCAAAATCAATGGTGGCGCCATCGGATTACAAAACACATGAATGTCCGATTATATAAAGAAAATTCGTATAGAATTTGGCCCATGTATAGCCTGCATAATACTTATTGATAATGTTCCATTTTTTTTTTAAGTTGGCATTTGTGGAAGATTGTTGTCATATGTGGAAATTGGTGGCAACCCAAGTTTACCTTTTGTTCTGTTTCATGACAAGAAAAAAAGGTGTTCACTGTTATCCTCTTACATTCAGTAATTAATTGTCTTGTGTCATCCTCAGGGGAAACTCAAGCTGAAAAGGGTAAAGACAATCTATGACTGCCAAGCGGACAATGATGATGAGTTGACATTTGTAGAGGGAGAGATCATCATAGTGACAGGTGAAGAGGACCAGGAGTGGTGGGTAAGTGGCATTAACTTTGCACACCTGATTGGGAACTGGTACAGAGAGATGTCTACAGTACATTGATCAGTCATAACATTATGACCACCATAACCTGTCAAGGAATGGACTCCCATTAATCCTCTGAAGGTATGCTTTAGTATCTAGCACCAAGCCATCAGCAGATCCTGTAAGTTGTTAGGTGGGGCTTCAATGGGTCAGATTTGATTAGTTTTTTTCGACACATCCCACAGATGCTCGATTGGATTGAGATCTGGAGAATTTGAAGGCCAAGTCAAAAGCTTGAACCGTTGTTGTGCTCCTCAAGCCTTTCTTGAGTTCATCGGATCAGGACACCTTCTTCCAGTGCTCGGTGATCCAGTTATGATGCTTACATGCCGATTTGTAGAAGCTTTTGGCTGTGGACATGGGTCAGCATGAGGCACCTTAATCGGTCTGCAGCTACAAAGCTTCATACACAACAAACTGCGATGCACTGTGTCCTCTGACACCTTTCTTTCAGAACCAACATTAACTTTTTAACCAGTTTGAACTGCAGTATGACTTGTGTGGGATCGGACTACACGGGCCAGCCTTCACTCCCCGCATGCATTAGTGAGTCTTGGCTGCCCATGACCCTGTCGCCAGTTCACCGGTTTTCCTGTGGTAGGTCCTGACCACTGTAGACCAGAAACATCCCACAAGAGCTGCAATTTTTGAGTTGCTGTGACCCAGTCATCTAGCCATTACAATTTAGTCCTTGTCAAAGTTGCTCAACTCTTTAATGCATTTTTTTCTGCTTTGAAAACACCAACTTCAGGGGCAACATGTTACTTGCTAACAAATATATCCCATCCACATGTCAGGTGACAAAATGTTATGACTGATTTTTTTTTTTTTTTATATAAAAAAATTGCTTTACATATATGCATGTTTTATAGTTATACAGCGCATGACAAAGGATTTTCAGAGCACTATAGCTTAGCTCAGGAGACAGCGCAGCAGGTGCTTGCTTTAAAGTACAGTTTGATTAAAACTTGAGACTGAACTCATTAGGGATGAATCATTGAGCTGTGTAACTAAAGGATTCATTCATCCAGAAGCAAACTGAGAACATTTAACAGCTAAAAAAAGAAACCCAAAGATCCACCTGGTGGCTTAGAAGCTGACAGCAGAATATCAATATACAATATTTGCTTTTGTTTTGTCCTTTTATTTTTTTTTTATTCTTGGCCATAATAAAGAGTGACATTATGTAAAAAGGCACTTTGCATTCCCTTTAAGAAATGACCAGCTTGTTTAGGTCCTGCCGTGTACTACACACCCTGTCTCCTGGTATCACCACACTGGAGCTGCCACTAATCTGCCTTTAGAATAAAGGAGGTGAGATCTGTGCAAAGCTGGCTTGCGGTGAATCTCATCCTACCTGACTTCACATATCCCAAGAATAAAATAGGGAAAAGCACCATTTCCAGCTAGAGGATGTAAACAGCACTGTTGGGACCCTTCACTGTCACATTTCCAGAAAAGGTATACGTTTATATTTAGCAAGTGCACCAGATAATTTACCTGGTTATATTCCTCAAATGTAGTGTGTGCTTTAACAAAAAACTGTCCAACCCTTAGCATTGCAGCCTCAGCATTTGTTGATAAAATTATATAGGCAGAGGTTAACTTTAGTGAAATCCACATACAGCCTGTTCTGCCCCTCACCTCTGCCAGATCAGTTCCCTACTGTCAAACCCACAGCCGGAAGTTGTTTAAATACAGAATCTAAAGAAACTGGTGCTGTAAAAAAAAAAAAAAAAAAAGAAAAGGATGACCTGACATGGTGTTGTTAAAGTGGTTATAAAGCCTTAGTGTTACTAAATCCCGGACCCTGCATTCACTATATCCAGTCTCCCCGGACCCGCATTCACTATATCCGCTCTCCCCGGACCCCGCATTCACTATATCCGCTCTCGGACCCGGACCCCGCATTCACTATATCCGCTCTCCCCGGACCCCGCATTCACTATATCCGCTCTCCCCGGACCCTGCATTCACTATATCCGCTCTCCCCGGACCCCGCATTCACTATATCCGCTCTCCCCGGACCCCGCATTCACTATATCCGCTCTCCCCGGACCCCGCATTCACTATATCCGCTCTCCCCGGACCCCGCATTCACTATATCCGCTCTCCCCGGACCCCGCATTCACTATATCCGCTCTCCCCGGACCCCGCATTCACTATATCCGCTCTCCCCGGACCCCGCATTCACTATATCCGCTCTCCCCGGACCCCGCATTCACTATATCCGCTCTCCCCGGACCCCGCATTCACTATATCCGCTCTCCCCGGACCCCGCATTCACTATATCCGCTCTCCCCGGACCCCGCATTCACTATATCCGCTCTCCCCGGACCCCGCATTCACTATATCCGCTCTCCCCGGACCCCGCATTCACTATATCCGCTCTCCCCGGACCCCGCATTCACTATATCCGCTCTCCCCGGACCCCGCATTCACTATATCCGCTCTCCCCGGACCCCGCATTCACTATATCCGCTCTCCCCGGACCCCGCATTCACTATATCCGCTCTCCCCGGACCCCGCATTCACTATATCCGCTCTCCCCGGACCCCGCATTCACTATATCCGCTCTCCCCGGACCCCGCATTCACTATATCCGCTCTCCCCGGACCCCGCATTCACTATATCCGCTCTCCCCGGACCCCGCATTCACTATATCCGCTCTCCCCGGACCCCGCATTCACTATATCCGCTCTCCCCGGACCCCGCATTCACTATATCCGCTCTCCCCGGACCCCGCATTCACTATATCCGCTCTCCCCGGACCCCGCATTCACTATATCCGCTCTCCCCGGACCCCGCATTCACTATATCCGCTCTCCCCGGACCCCGCATTCACTATATCCGCTCTCCCCGGACCCCGCATTCACTGTATCCGCTCTCCCCGGACCCCGCATTCACTGTATCCGCTCTCCCCGGACCCCGCATTCACTGTATCCGCTCTCCCCGGACCCCGCATTCACTGTATCCGCTCTCCCCGGACCCCGCATTCACTATATCCGCTCTCCCCGGACCCCGCATTCACTGTATCCGCTCTCCCCGGACCCCGCATTCACTGTATCCGCTCTCCCCGGACCCCGCATTCACTGTATCCCGGACCCCGCATTCTCCGATCTCCCCGGACCCCGCATTCACTATATCCGATCTCCCCGGACCCCGCATTCCCTATGTCTGGCCTCCCCGGACCCTGCATTCCCTATGTCTGGTCTCCCCGGACCCTGCATTCCCTATGTCTGGCCTCCCCGGACCCCTGCATTCCCTATGTCTGGCCTCCCCGACCCTGCATTCCCTATGTCTGGCCTCCCCGGACCCTGCATTCACTTTATCTGCTCTCCCCGGACCCTGCATTCACTATATCCGGTCTCCCCGGACCCTGCATTCACTATATCCGGTCTCCCCGGACCCTGCATTCACTATATCCGGTCTCCCCGGACCCCGCATTCACTATATCCGGTCTCCCCGGACCCCGCATTCACTATATCCGCTCTCCCCGGACCCCGCATTCACTATATCCGCTCTCCCCGGACCCCGCATTCACTATATCCGCTCTCCCCGGACCCCGCATTCACTATATCCGCTCTCCCCGGACCCCGCATTCACTATATCCCTCTCCCCGGACCCCGCATTCACTATATATCCGCTCTCCCCGGACCCGCATTCACTATATCCGCTCTCCCCGGACCCCGCATTCACTATATCCGCTCTCCCCGGACCCCGCATTCACTATATCCGATCTCCCCGGACCCCGCATTCACTATATCCGATCTCCCGGACCCTGCATTCCCTATGTCTGGCCTCCCCGGACCCTGCATCCACTATGTCTGGTCTCCCCGGACCCTGCATCCACTATGTCTGGTCTCCCCGGACCCTGCATTCCCTATGTCTGGCCTCCCCGGACCCTGCATTCCCTATGTCTGGCCTCCCCGGACCCTGCATTCCCTATGTCTGGCCTCCCCGGACCCTGCATTCCCTATGTCTGGCCTCCCCGGACCCTGCATTCCCTATGTCTGGGCCTCCCCGGACCCTGCATTCCCTATGTCTGGCCTCCCCGGACCCTGCATTCACTTTATCCTGCTCTCCCCGGACCCTGCATTCACTATATCCGGTCTCCCCGGACCCTGCATTCACTATATCTGGTCTCCCCGGACCCTGCATTCACTATATCTGGTCTCCCCGGACCCTGCATTTCACTATATCTGGTCTCCCCGGACCCTGCATTCACTATATCTGCTCTCCCCGGACCCTGCATTCACTATATCTGCTCTCCCCCGGACCCTGCATTCATTATATCCGGTCTCCCTAGACCCTGCATTCACTATATCTGGTCTCCCACAGTACACAACATGGAAATTACATTATTTTAGTAAATATAAACTGCTAAATACCTTTTCTCATCAGCAGTATATAGCAGTCTTGTGACTTCAGGAGAGCACTGGTTAAAGCTTGTAGGAGGATTTTTCTTTCTGCTCTAGGAGCTGTGCAGATCGCATGCATTCTCCCAAGAAAAAAACAAAAAAAAACCTCTAGCGATACACACTTGCATACATACAACTGAGCATGTGGGATAAGAGTGGACATTTGAACAAGAGAAGGGGCAGAGAAGACAGGATCAAACAGCCTTTTTACACAATGCAGAGGATTAACCCCTTAGGTTCCACAGTGAGTATAACAAGCATGCTTTACTGCATATACAGACTGATTTTACTGCTGTGGGTTTATTAACACTTTAAGGTTTTTTATCCTGATGCATTAAGGTAAAAAACCTTCTGTGCCTGGGATCCCCCAGCCGCCCCTTATACTTACCTGAGCCCCATCACGATTCAGCGCTGTACATGAGACCATGGCTCTCCCAGCTCTGTCCCTTCTCACAGGGCAGATCAATAGTAGTGGGAGCGATTGGCTCCCGCTGCTGTCAATTAAACTCAGTGATGAGGAAGTGGAGGGCGGGGCTGTGCCCCACTCTGTGTCTATGGACGAATGCAGCGGGCCTCGGGAGCACAGCACGCATGAGTGCCCCTATAGGAAGCAGCTTACTATGGGGCAATCAGCAGGGGGGAGGAGCCAGGAGCCCCGGCAGGGGACCAGAGAAAAGGAGGATCGGGGCTGCTCTGTACAATACCTTTGCACATGACATGTTTATTATTTTAATTAAAGGTAAATAGAGATACAAGGTATTTATTTATTTCAGGTACTTATATAGTGCCGTCAATTTACGCAGCACTTTACATATATATTGTACATTCACATCATTCCGTAACCCTCAAGGGGTGTACAATCTAAGGTCCCTAACTTACATTCATACATACACATACTAGGGCCAATTTAGACAGGAGCCAATTCACCTACCAGCATGTCTTTGGAGTGTGGGAGGAAACCAGAGTACCAGGAGGAAACGCACGTAGGCACAGGGAGAACATGCAAACTCCAGGCAGGTGGTGCCTTGGCTGGGATTCGAACCAACGACCCTAATACTGCCAGGTGGAAGTGCTAACCATTTAGCCACTGTGCTGCCTCCAACCATTTCGCTACCGGCCTCCTACCTCCCCTCATAGCCAGTCCAACACACACCTGCAGAAATGACTACCGGCCTCCTACCTCCCCTCATAGCCAGTCCAACACACACCTGCAGATATGAGGACCGGCCTCCTACCTCCCCTCATAGCCAGTCCAACACACACCTGCAAATGATGACCGGCCTCCTACCTCCCCTCATAGCCGGTCCAACACACACCTGCAGAAATGATGACCGGCCTCCTACTCCCCTCATAGCCGGTCCAACACACACCTGCAGAAATGACTACTGGCCTCCATCCTCCCCTTATAGCTGGTCCAACACACACCTGCAGAAATGACTACCGGCCTCCTACCTCCCCTCATAGCCAGTCCAACACACACCTGCAGAAATGACTACCGGCCTCTTACCTCCCCTCATAGCCGGTCCAACACACACCTGCAGAAATGACTACTGGCCTCCATCCTCCCCTTATAGCTGGTCCAACACACACCTGCAGAAATGACTACCGGCCTCCTACCTCCCCTCATACCGGTCCAACACACACCTGCAGAAATGACTACTGGCCTCCTACCTCCCCTCATAGCCGGTCCAACACACACCTGCAGAAATGACTACTGGCCTCCTACCTCCCCTCATAGCCGGTCCAACGCACACCTGCAGAAATGACTACCGGCCTCCTACCTCCCCTCATAGCCTGTCCAACGCGCACCTGCAGTAATGACTACCGGCCTCCTACCTCCCCTCATAGCCAGTCCAACGCACACCTGCAGAAATGACTACCGGCCTCCTACCTCCCCTCATAGCCTGTCCAACGCGCACCTGCAGTAATGACTACCGGCCTCCTACCTCCCCTCATAGCCTGTCCAACACGCACCTGGAAAAACTATATTGTAGCACTCCTGGCAAGTTAAAAAATAAAATATTTAAGTGATATTTGTTCATTTTTACAATTTGCTCATTTTAATTGCCCATGATTGACAGGTTTATGAAAAAAAAAATGTAAATCACCTTTGTTTTTTTTCTCCATAGATCGGCCACATCGAAGGACAACCAGATAGGAAAGGAGTCTTCCCAGTGTCTTTTGTACACATCTTGTCTGAATAGGACTTGTGATGTTACAGATCTACCATTGCCCAAGCCCAGGCTTGTAGCCAGCTTGCTGCTCTGTGTCTGCTTCCCTGTACTGTATATAAGCTACCATCACCACTTCATCCAATACCTTCCATTCTGTGTATTGTAAACGTGCTATCTTTCTCCAACTCCTGTCAGTATTACAGTAGCTGAACAAGCCCGGTTCCTTGGGCACTATAGAACCATTTCCTTGGCCTTCAGCACTTTCACGCCCTACTGTCAGACTGTGCTGTTCCAGTTGTCGTCGTGTCCAAACAATTTCTGCCCCGTCCCGTCTTGAGTTTTAGTTACAGTACCAGATGCCACAACAAAGGCAAGGAAAAAAAAAAAAAAAAAAAAAAAAAAAACAGCAAAACCCGCACCAACCCGTCACTTCACCTTCCGCAAGCATTCGAGCCGTGTTATCTATTGCAGAAAATAACATCTGAATAGTTTTTTTCGAAATCTCAAGTATTGACCGTGTTTCTGTGCTCTGTACTCATTTGTTTGGAACTTTCGCCAACATCCTTATTGTCACTTTGCTACAAGTAGTTAAAAAAAAAAAAAAAGATATATTTCTATCTAAAAGCTTCTTTTATTAGAAGTATATACATATATATATAAATACTATACATATATATAAAAATACGACAAATCCGGTTGACTTCATCGGACTTTAATGACTGCTAAACAATATTAGTCTGTTTACATTATGCATGATTTCTAAACCAACAACAGCAACAACAAAAAGAATTCTGGAATACTTGAAACAGGAATATAACTGTAAGTCCTATACTTTGTTCTGTAGCTGAAAAACAGATGGAGGGGAATATTTTTTCCAGTAGAGAGAATTTATTTGAAATAGACAGTATTACTTAGTTTTTTTGGGGGGGGGGGAGTGGGGGTTATTTATGTTGGGGGGTGGGGGGGGGGGGAGCAAGAACTCTCGCTGGGGGGTCTAGGTAGCCTGGGAGATGATGGACGAAGAAACTTCCTCAAACGAGAGGAGGAGTTAAAACAAATCTAGGAGGGGAAGGCGGGGGGGTTGAAGGAATCTCACACGGAGCTGCGAAGGTAGAAGGGGGGGTGAATGAGAAGGTGACGGAATGAAAAGGAGGGAGCGAGCCGGGAGCATCAAGATGACGGACTGAGGATAGATGAAGGGAAAGGGATGGTGGGAGATGAAAAATCGGGAGGTAGGGGAGGGAATCTGGATGGAAGATGAGAAAGGGGGGGAAGAATCTGGTTTGGCGAATGAAAGGAAATGAAGAAAGAAGAAGGAGAGATTGGGAGATGAAGGAAAGAGGGTGATTGGGGGGGTCAAGGATGAGGGATGGACGAGCTGTCATGTGAAACGAAGGAAGAATTCAAAGAGGCACGGAGCAGGAGGAAGAAGCCGATCATGAAGGGAGAGAAGGAGGAAGATAAGGAGAGGGAGGGAGCTCTCAATAGGTACAGAAGAAGGTAGTAAATCTAAAGAGAGTTGAGGGGATCTCTGATAAAGAAAGAGGTCCTTAGCTCTCAGATCTAAGAGGCCTCTCTCACTCAGAATGGATCTCTAGAAGAAGTTCTCCTCCTCTCAAACAAAAAAAGATGAATACGCTCTCAAAAGAGAAATCGATATCAAGAGGGAAGAAGTGATCTCGCTCCTCTCCTCTCGGGAAAAGACAGACAAAATTAACTCAAAAAGTAATCTCATAATTTAGAAAAAGGAAGTAGTCTCTCAAATGAGAATCCCGGCATCTCATCGTCTCTCTCCCGTACGTTTGAAAATGAGAGAAGGATCTTCAAATCTAGTTTAAAGAAATTAACTCTCTTAAGAATCTAAATCTCAATCCTCACCAAAAGTCTCTCAAGAGATGAGTCTCTCAATCTCTCTCAATCATAAATTACATGAATCGCTCCTCTCGAGAAATTCTACAATATTCGTAAACATTATACTCAAGAGAAAAACAAAAAAGATCAAAGACTCTCTCAATCTCTCTCTCTTCTTAATCAAAACTCTACAATCTTGAACAATCAATGCGAATCTCTCAAGGGGCGCTTATCGTTCGCGGAGAGTCTTAAATCTCTCTCTCTTTCAATCTCTCAGATCTCTCAATCTCTCTCAAGTCTCTCAATAGTCCCCCACCTCTAAGCTTCCATCTCTAAATCTCTGCATGAGCGCTCTCAACGAACTCTCAGATCCTCTAAAAATAATAATATCAAGTTGGAGATATTCCTTCAACATTCCATCAAATCAATCCTCACCACCCCTCATCCCTTTTCCATCCAATTCCACCATTCTTCCCCTTTCCCTCCTCCCCACAGCGCATGC